GCCACCACACACACACACACACACACACACACACACACACACACACACACACACTGCCTTGCCACACACATGGATCAGGACCAACACTGTGGGCCAAATACAGTGGCCTTTACCTGCAGTGCAACCCCAGCACTCAAGAGGTGAAATAGGAGAACCACAACTGTGCGGAAAAGTCTGGCTCGCCCACGGACTAAAAACCCGTGCCCAAAACAGTAAAACAAAATACAAATGGTGGGTCAGCAAGATGGCCCAGTGCGTAGAGACATTTGGCATGAAAGCCCGGAGACACGAGTTCAATCCCTGGAACCACGTGAAGGTAGAAGCCAAGACTAACTTTATAAAGTTGTCCTCTGGCCTCTATACATCTGCTGTGGCACACACACCCATTCCCCTCCAACAAAATAATAATAAAAATTACACACACACGTACATACACACACAGAGCTGGGGAGAGAGATAGCTCTCCGGTTACAGGCACTTGTTGACAAACCTTGAGGACTAGAGTTCAGATCCCAACACCCACATTAGGCTGGCAGGGTGAGGAGACCCTAACAATCATTGTAACTACAGCTCCAAGGGATCTGAGCTCCTCTTCTGACATCCTTTATTTATGTGTGCAATGCACACACCCATACATGTATAAAAAGTAAAAATACATTAAAAAGAAAAGAAACTGCTACTTTGAAGAAAAAAGACAAGTGAAGGCATTAAAAAGAAACTCTCCTTCCAGTAACTTAAGGTGAGTTACTTCTTTATTATAAAGTGGCCATACTTTAGATCCAAGGGATCTAAAAATCTTAAGATTAAAGATTAAAGATCTTAAGGTAGAATGCACAGTAGCACGGCTGGGCGTGGCTTAGTTGGTTTTTGGCGCTGTCTCTACCTTTATTGGTGGCTCTGGAATTTACCCCTGAGGCAGGTAACTGTGGCAGTGGTTAGCAATCACTTGGCAATTCTGAATTAATTCTAGGGTGTATTCACATTAATGTTTGACCTAATTTGGGAGAAGGAAGTCAATCCACGCAACTATATCTACTGTCCCAATACCGTAAGTCCATCCTAAGAAAGAAAGCCTCCTTTAAAACAAAAACTGGAACTGGCGGACTCCAGTTCAAGCAGTCAGGTACTAAAGGCACTCCCCGACCACCATAACACACACCCTCTCTCTCGCACCCCCCCCCTTCCCGAAACTGCAAGGAAAGGCCTCTGTGCTCTAAGGTTAATCCTTTAAATTGAGTGGAATTTTGGGAACTGTGGCATCTGAGTAACCAGTCACAAACAGCTCCTCTGGTCTGAGTCACAGCTGTCCCTGCGGTTCATTGCCTTTTGAAGAGCAAATACGTGGTACCAAGGCCTGGCCCGGTTCTGCCCGACTAACTGACTAGGAATCTCACTCTAAGCAGGTTACATGCCAGTCAGTCAACTGTGCTGAGACTTGGCCACCACAAGCAACCCAATTTCCTGCTCTCCTTGGGAGTAGGCGGTGACGGAACCCTAAGCCTTCTGCAGTTTGCAAAGGAGGCGTCCGTTATGTGAGCTGTTATGCTAAACAGAAACTAACCTGGAGTAACAGGGAAATTTCGTCTCCGCTGTCTCCCAAGCATACTATAAGTAAAGATATTTGCTTCCATCGTAGTTCCTGACCTTTCTTACTGCATTTTGGGGTCTCCTGTACTGGGAAAGTTTGATATTGGAGCTGATATTGGGAATGGCCTGGTAGCCATGGCCTCTGACAGGGATGAGCCTGGCTCCAGCAGTGACAGGGAGCAGCTGACCTGTGTGGTCAGCAAGTAGGACCAGGGCAGGTGACCCAGACCTGCTGCAGGGTTTTCAAGGTTCCTATGCTTCCCAAGCCAGGAAGCAGATGAAGTCAATGTTTCAGAGCCAACCTACATCTGCCTGCAGTGGTGGCTGAGAGGGGCCTTTCCGGGGGGGGGGGGGGGGGGGGGGAGAGAGAGAGAGAGAGAGAGAGAGCGCGTGTGTGGGACACACACACACACACACACACACACACACACACACGTAATAAGTCAGGCTACAAAACAAAACAAATGGCTTCAGATCTACAACTCAAAAGAACTTACAATTTCTTAGGTCTATTTCAGATCTATTGTTTTGTTTCATTTATTTATTTGTTTCTTTATTTATTTATCTATCTTTACTCGGGGAAACAACACACTGAAAATGTCAGTCGATACCCCCAGTTCCCAAACCTGGGGGTTGAGATATAGGTTTCCCCTGACAGGGGCTCTATTGTGACACAATGTCACATACACAGTTCATGTTCGAGAACCCTGTGACTGAGTCACAAAACAAAGCAAAAAAACTCCTAGTGTTTTAAGTAAGTTTATGCTTTTTATGGAGGGCTGCATTCATAGACAGCCTGCCTGTGGACCACGCCTGGTAGGGCCAACTTCTACCCTTCTATCAAAAGGTACGGACTGGCTCCTTTCAGGGTCAGTGCTCATCCATGTGTTACGGAAGTATAAGAATGCCAGTTTGGGGCTAGAGAGATGGCGTGGTGGTTGAGAGCACTGTACCCGGAGTTCAATTTCCAGCATCTGCATGGTGGCTTGCATCTGTCTATAACTCTAGTTCGGGGGATCTGAAGCCCTCTTCTGGAGCCAGCCATCCATGCAGCCATAAAGAAAACTTTAAGAGTTTTCTGTTTAGAAACAGAGTCTGTCTATGCCCAGGCTGGACTAGAACAGGAGTTCTTTCTGACCCAGCCTCTGAGTGTCAGCATTGCAGGCATCCAGGTCTGCACCGCACTCTGCTCCAATCTTGTTGTTTGTCACAGCTCTCTCTGGACTGAGGGGGGCTCACCTTCTCTCTGTTTCCTTTTGTCTTCTCAAAACCATTTAATCCAGCCCTTGCCCACCGGGAGAGCCTTGCTCCTAAGAGCCAGAGGCACTAACTACAGAACACAAAAACCATTCTGTAATGGTCACTGCTGGTCTCCAGTTACATGCTCAACCCAGGGTCCGAGGCAGCTGGGTGGCCCCCCTTCTAACACACCGGCCATTGTCATGCCCCTACACACTTCCTTCCCAACAGGCCATTAGCCTCATAAACAGGGGCCACATTTTGTTTCTTTTTCTGTGTTCTCCTGTACAAAGTTTCTGCTACTGTTTTGTAAACCTCTTAAAGAGTCATAATTTCCTCCTAGAATATTCTAGGACCAAATATGTTCCAGAATTCAGCACTGTTAGATTTTAGTGGGGTAAGAGGAGTCATTGACCATTTTTTTTTTTGGTTAGGTAGCAGTCCTCCATCAAATGCCTGGAAGGGGCTTTTGAGCGATGCATGAAGGTTACATTACATTAAGGAGCGATAGAAAGACTAAAAATAGGCTCGCCTAGGACAGGGCAGGGCTCACTGCTAGATGAATTCTGCCGTAATCTTACATATAAACATTCACTTACTCTTTAGTGCTCTGTGTTTCCTGGATTCTGGAAGGGAGGGTGGGCCTCGATCAGACCAATGAGCACTTGGAAGAGGACCTGGTTCCAGCGTCCTCCTGCTGGGCAGTATCTTGCCTGGGTGCCAGACAGGCTCTAAGTATTGAGTAGCTGGGAGTTGGTGGGGGAGTCCCCAGCTCTTGGGCCTTTCCCTGCCTTCCTTACATGCTGTTCTCTGTGTTTAGCTGTTTATTCTTCTCTTTGCCCAGGACTCTGGCACTTGGTTCCTGTACGTTAGCACAAGCCCAGGGCTGACTTCCTCCCCATTCTTGCCTTCTATGGTGTGCCTCGGCCTCTTTTCTGAAACCACCGTCTCAGAAGCTTTCCCTCCTCCCTGATCTCAAGACTGGCCTGAAGAGGGTTCCAAAGTGGCCCTGCAGGTTCCCTCCCTAGGCCCACAGTTGACAGACTAGCTTCAAAAAACCAAATTACTGACAAAACTTCAGTGTGGAGGAGGGTGGGGGAGGGATACTAAGACACGCGAACAGGACAGTCCTCAGCAAGGACCTGACTTTTCCAGTCTATCACTGATATCAAAATTTACACCTTCCCAGTCAAACAAAGCAGCCTCATTGTGAGTATCCCACAGACAATGCAGGATTAGCTCCTACCTGGTGAATGAGTAACTGGGACTCACAAAAACCTGACCAAGGGAGAACCTTGGATCTCCTTATTTCTCTAGTACTAACTCCATAAAAATACATTGTTTCAAAGAGTACCTTTAGCTTTTAAACATTCCCATTCATAAGCAACCATAGCAATGGGGGAGGTGGGAAGGTGGTGGCCTGAAAGCCCAGCAGTGGAGAGTTGAGAAGGGAGGATCTGGGAGTTTAAAACTAGTTTGGGTTAGGTAGTCTGCTCTGGTCTCAACTCCCAGCCCCCAAGCTAAAAACCATAAGCTACAGGCGGGAACCTAAGATTCCCAATTCGCTGGTTCCCAATTTTAAGGCCAAACTACTCCTTTCCCACCACAAGTTAAGTTCGGTAAGGGAAACACCAGAGATTGACACCCGCCAAAGTGGATTTAGGTTCCTGGATCCTTGAGGGAGGTGTTCCTAAGGTCAAGAGCCTGCAAACCCTCCAAGTCACTCCAGGGAAGCTGGTGCCTCCGGATGAGGGCCCAGTTCCTGGGTGCTGTGCTTTGTAAAATACCAAACTCGCAGTTCCGTGTGAAACGCTACACCACACTCAGATCTAAGATCTCGGTTGGATCCAGGCCAGAGCCAGTCAGCTGGGCAGAGCCTGCCTAGAGACCATCACCAGGGGCGGAGGGTAAGACCACGCTCCTTTTCGTCCTTGAGAGAGGCGCTGGGACGCAAAACTTTTCAGAGCGCCACCTGCAGATATCTTGTTCTCGGCCAACCACCTGTCCTCAGGATTTTCTAACGACTCTGGCAAAGCCCACCCGCCTCTGTTCCAGCAGGATCCCAGCCGCCGAGGGGGGTCACTGCCCTTGACCATAGAGCCTTCAGGGGACACAGCTCTGCGGGGGGAGGGGGACACTGACAGGCACAGGACTGAACCGCGTGTTCCTCTTACCAGTCTCTGCGCTTCTGGGCTCAGACAGTCAATTTCCTGGTTCTGTGTGCCCGCCGGGCTGGTCATCTTGCCGGACTACAGACCAACTTCCCACCCGTGAGTTCGCGCCGCAGACCCGCTCAGTCGGAGGGCTCTCAGAGAAGCCACATTTCCGGATCCAGGACAGCCGTCCAGGCAGAGGCAGAACTCGCGATGATCCCCGCGGCGCACACGAAACCCGGACAGCCGGCTTCTTGGTTCCCCAGCTGGGGTGCGGCCGGTAGGGCGGGGCGCAGGTGGCCCCGGGCCGGGGGTGGGGGTGGCAAGAGAGGAGCCCCGGGCACACTCCGCCCGTTCCCCGCCTAACTCCGCCCCCACGCCCCACCCACCCTGTGCCCGCCACTCCTTCCTTCCCAGCCCCTTTCCCGCGCTCTTTCCAGGGAGGTTTGCCCCTTCCTCCCCAGACCCACCCACCGGGGGGTCCGTCTGCCTTTCACGCTCCTTCCACGCGTCCACATCCTCCCCCTTCAGCCGTTCGCTTCACCCACAACCCACGAGGGCACTTTCAACCCAAGCGCTCCTTCCATGAGGTCCACCCGAATCCGCCCACCAGGGACCCCCACGCTCCTCCTCCACGGTCCCGCCCATGCTCCTCCCTTTGCTCTGCCTCAGAACCTCCGGATCCGCCTTCCTCCCCACTCAGATTGCTCCTGACTAGTCGGCTGCGGTGCCATCAATTACCACCCAGTCCCTGTGGCTGACAAGAGAAAGGCGGAGGGGAATGACCCTAGGGACTCCACCCGCAACCACGCCCTGGCTGTCCCACGGCTGAGTCAGCCTGGGAGACTAGCCCAGGCCTTGGGAAGGGCGCCTTCCCTTAGGACACGCGTGGCTTGAGCTAGAACCACAGCGCACCAGCCTCTGCCCAAGCGTAGCTGCCCCCGCTGCAGTGGTCTTTTGAGCTGGTTCAACCTTGGGAACCACAGAGCTACCGTCCCTTACAATCAGGACAGAAGAGAGCATCAGCCCCTGGTGACAGTCGCTATCCCGAAGATTCGGTGTCTGCAGCCCGCATCTGCGCTATTCAGTCTTTGGTGCTGTTCTGACGGGCTGCGGCGAGAAACTGGTCTCCACGCAGGACAGTGACCCAACTCCTAGCACACGTCTTCCACGTCCACTGGGCGGGAGTACCGCTGACTTAAAATTAACATCACGAGGGCAAGTAACCAGAAGATTCCAATTTTGTACCCTATGGACTGAAGCAACCCAAAGGAAACTGCACGGATTTTGCCCTAAACCGATCCCGGCTGCGTTATCTCCCCACAGCCCACGCAGCAGACCTGGGTGAAGTGTTTTCTCCACCCTAAAAGACCTTCTTTAGGCTCAAAAGAAAAGCAACAGGAACCCTCGGCCTGTTTTCCTTTTCTGAAGTCACCAGAAAGATTCTGGAGAAGTCAGGGTCACATCTGAGTTTTATGGCTCCCTATTCTCAACCTGGCTGACAAATTTCTTGGTAACAATGAATACATGTGTGCACTGGCCTATGCGTGTGGATCAGCATTCTGACACCACGTCTCTGGGCAGTGCTTCTGGTGGGCCCAGAGAAGATGGTTTCTGAAAGCAGAAGAACTTGGCCGGAAAGGATGAAGAGAGAGCAGAAAACGTGGTTTAGGGATGAAGGGGCGTGTTTTATGGACAAATGGGGCGTGGCTTATGTATGAAGGGGTGTGGCTTTGGGAAAAAGTGCAAGTTGAAAGACATCGCACTGAACTTTGATGAAGCATCTCAGATGGGGAAAGCTTCCTGCGAAAGAGAGGACTAGCTTCCAGCAAGTGTCTCAATATAACATTTTGCAAACACCAGTTTAAAGTTCTTGATTCTACAAAGTTCAAATAATTGGAAAGAATAGTTTTAGATAGCATTGTAATGGCAAAGGTTGGTGGTATTTATGTGGGGTACACTACTAGGTCTAACTTTACAGGTGAGAGTGGGGGCCAGTTAATAACAGAGTCCTGCTAGTGTATTCTGATCTAGATAGGCAGATAGATTCTAAGCTGGGACACCCACACCATTGTAGCCCAGGGGCAGGCATTGTTTGTTTTGCCTGTCCCCAGACAATACCTGAAGACATTGGTTGCTGACATCGGGAGCATTTCTCCAGCCCCCAAGATATCCACTGGCTTCTAACAAGCTCATAAGCAAACTTCTTTGTCCAGGAGTCCAGCAAAGAAACACAGAACACTGTGTCCTTGCTGCCCCCAAATCCTCTGGCAAGAACCTCACCCACCCATTGCTGCCTCCTCTGCCACTGCAGAGAGGAAGCTGGGCCATAAGTTAAGATGGCTGAGGATTGGACTGAGCCAGTGAGGTGAGGCAGACCTAAGAAGGGGAAAATCTGCAAGCCCCGCCCTTGCACCCCTCCTCAAAGCTATGGGAGGGAGTCAGGTGGTGAGACTCCTAGGCTCAAGGAATACCACCAGCCGTAGAACTGCAGTGCACACACGAGACACGTGGCTCCGCAGAGTGCGGCATGTTATGGCAGCTGCCACCCCAACACCCTGCTCTCTTAGAAAGGAGGGTGCCATATTTTGACTTAGGTGAGCCCATCCTGCCTTGACTGGTGGCTGTAAGCAGTTCCCAGCTCCAAAAGTGTGGAAGTCCATATGGAAGTCCATATGCCACTACCCTTGGTGGTGGCATTTAAATCTAAATTCTAGGGCCTAGCCTGGCTGTACATGCTTGTAATCTACTTGGGAGGTAAAGGCAGGAGGACTGAGAGTTGAAAGCCTTCCTTGGCTTTTTATATCAAGTTTGAAGCTGGCCTTGGCAAACTGAAATGTCAAATAAAAAAAAAAAAGAGGACCCCACCCAGTACTAGTGCCACAGAAGCAAGCAGATCTCTGAGTTCTAGGCCACCGTGGTCTATACAGCAAGTTTCAAGACAGTCAGAGCTGCAGAGTTTGATTCTGCCTCAAAAAAAAAAAAAAAAAGTAAATAAATCAAATCAACCTATGTTCTAATAAAGTACAGAGGCTCAAAGTTGTCTTCCAATAATTTGATGCCCTTCCTTTAGCCTCTCTATCTTGCAAGGTCACAGTGAGGGTAATGAATGTGAAGGGAATCTACTAACTTCTGGATGGGGTGTGTGGGGGGGTGGTGAACGAGAGTGACACTCAGTAGAATGGGATGTGTACCTCAACACAAAATTTTCACCCCAGTAGAAGTGTCTTAGCAGAACAATAGAAAAGCTTTTGTCTTGAAGAAACTCAAGTCACCTAAAGACATGAACACATCCAACGAGGAGCCCCCGGACACCTTTGAAAGCCCGAAAGGAGCCTCATCCACTGGGCTGGCAAGCTGGTGGTATCAAAGGTCTTTTTCTTTTCTTTTCTAAGATAGTCTCATATAGCTGAGGTTGTCCTCAAACTCTGGATTCTCCTGTTCCCCCCACCTCCAGAGTGCTGGGGTTACAGGGATGTGCCTCCATGCCCTGTAGGGCCCAGGGGTTTTATATAAAGAGCTGTGAGGTGTGTGATTCAATTCAGTTTTCTCCTTTTGGAAAACATGATCGAAGGCCAGCCATTCCTAACAAGCTAGCTTTGCAGTTGCAGCTCTTTCCATATGGCCACGCACTAACCCGTGAGCTCACAGATTTGCTGACACTATTTAAACACTGGATCTCTTTCTGTGAGCACACAGTGACTTTGGGAAAGATCTGTCTCTACCAGCTTATAGTGTGTGTGTGTGTGTGTGTGTGTGTGTGTGTGTGTGTGGTATGTGGTGTGTATGTGTGTGTGGTGTGTGTATATGTGTCTAGTGTGTGTGGTATGTGTATGTAGTGTGTGTGGTGTCTGTGTGGTGTAGTGTGTGGTGTGTGTCTATGTGTGTAGTGTGTGCGTTGTGTGTATTTAGTGTGTGGTGTGTGTGTATTTGGTGTGTGTATGTGTGTCTGGTATGTGTGGTATATATTGTGTTGTGGTGTATGTGTGTATGTAGTATATGTGAGGGGGTTGGTATGTGTGTGTGGTGGGTGTGTCCTCTGTGATCTCTTAAAGGAAAGCCTAGAGGCTCAACATCAGTTCTCAGGTGTACAAGATCATGCCCAGGAGCCCAATTTTAAAAGGGACTCCTGAGAAAGGAACAAAAGGTAAATACAATGGCCTGCATTGTTGAAGGACCGTAAGGATCACAGCACACTAACCAGCTCAGCCACAGAGTGAGCCAGACTGGGGCTCCACCCAAGCCCAGTTTACTCTGTCTCCCTGGCATCTGTTGTTAGGCTCACCAGCTTTGCCTTCCTCTGTGGTTTTGGCTGTAGGGTGACCACAGAAAGCAGAGGCAGAGGGAAGGCAGAGTGGCTCTCAGTCTCCCCATTAATCAGGTAGCCAACATGAAATCATTTCTCTCCATCACACCCTAACGCTTGTTTTTTTTCAGAAATGAATTGGCAGCCCCATGGATGATGGACAACAGGGTAAACACCTCTAATGGCTTGCACACACAATGTGCTCACATGTACGCTCTTACTTCATTTGAATCCTTAGACAATTGCCTAAAAACCATAGTTGTGATCATATGTTATGGAAACTGTGGTTCAGGACATCACCCAGGCTTTGTATGGCACCTTCTGTTTACAGAACACTTGACACACACACTAAGGCCCACAAAGTGTTTGACTGGTCCACAGACATGTTGGAGGAGGGGAGCCAGCCCCTAAACATCTTTCCATGGTACATGTCCAGAGGTGCTCCCTACCATACACCCATAGGTCCTCACTTGGGAGTAGGCAGTCACGAGACTCAGGGAGCCCTTGGACTGTCTCCCTGGGCTTAACCTGGACCAGTAGCCCTGGAGGAAGCACAGCTTAGAAAAAGCACTGGAGAAACCAGGATTGTCAATAATGCGGGCCTGTTTTCTTCCAGTGAAGGAAATGAATGATGTCTGATCACTTGGAGTACCAGAGTGAGAAAGAAATCAATCAACTTGGTGATTCTCAGCCTATTCTCAGCCTCCACCTGAATGCCCCCAATATCCTGAGCATTACTGAGGCCTCAACCCTTCAGTGAATAGAACACATTCCTCAGAAAGAGGTCCCAGGTCCTTTGCATCCTTCACCAATAGAATCTCCCCTCGTACTTATCACAGACCTTCCCTCTAGGCTCTAGCCCCGAGTTCTGTTTATCAGCCAATAGAATCCCTTCTTATAGTAAAGTTCACAGGTCACAAGGTCAGTCTCACTCAGTGCCTTCTTCACCTCTCATGGACGTGTGACACTCTCCCTCACCCGCCACCGCTAGTTGTGAGGCTTGTCAGGAGATGGGGTCCCCCAACATAA